TTGCCAACCCTTGGCATTTACCATAATACCCTAGTTGACCCCTAGTGGACCCCATAAGGGTGTGTACATGCTTGGCAACACATGTATACACACATAGGAGCCCAAGGTATAGCATAGAATGGGAAAAGAAATAGAAAAGGAATTAGGAAAGGGGAAATAAATGGAAAGGCCAAAGCAGCCCAGTAGCGGCCCACGTCACACCCGCCCACGTCGCGACATGCCGTTGTCATCTTCTCCCCTGCCGCTGACAGTTGGGCCTCGCTTGTCATCCCCAACACCCGCCCTTCCTCTACTTTTCCAAAAGCAGAGCACCGATGACTGGGGGAATCTCGTAGTCCCCCATATGCCCTAGCCGTCTGCGCCTCTGGTCATTGCGCTCCAACACGTGGATGCAGTGCCACGTCCATAGCCCCAATGTGCCTCACCTCCCCAGTCGGTGTCATGATGTGCATGACGTTGCCGTGGACCCATGCCCCCTGACATCACCCGTCCTCGCCTTGACCGCCGAGGATTCCAAATTGGGAGCACCCAACCGCCCGTGATCCCACGCCGAGCTCCAAACCCTAGCCCTGGGGGCTTGATCACCCTACACGTGGCCTACCCCCTCTCCCCGCTGTTCACCAACCACCATGGCCATGACCTCCCTATAAAAGGGCATACCCGGTGCCCTAACCCTCTTCCGTCCACCCCGCCGCCACTGGTGGCTTCACCAACCACACGCCAAGCTAGAGAAGAGGAGGAGAAGGGAGAAGAAGGAGGAAGAAGGGAAGTGGGAAGGAGCCGAGCCCGTCAGAGTCACCCAAGCTCGCCGAAGAAGAAGACGGTGCCCCGATCATCTTCCTCGCCGTAGCGGTTCGGCACTGCACTGCTACCTCTCGCCACAGCCTCGCCTCATCACTACACCACCATCCTATCTACCTCGCCACCATGGTGAGCCCCCGACTTCGCTCTCCCGTGCTTGGCGCCATGGCATGATATGGCCGCCCCGCCGTGTTCTCCCCCTTGGGAGGGCCAAAGGCTGGTCTTTTGCCAACATGATGCACCACACACACGCACATGAGCCAAGGGCTGGCCCAGCCGAGCCACTAGTGCTTGGGAATGCTAATGCCTACATGTCACACCTGCCGTGGTCGCCATGGCTGGTGTCTGCCATGTAGCCACTCCATTCTGACCTCCTTGGGTCGGTAGAGGTAGAACGAGTGCCTCGGCAAGCTTTGCCTCGTCGAGGGACGCATCATGCGCTAGATGGGAGGAGAAGAGAAGCCCCAAGGGCCATTGTCGTGTCCACCTCGTCGGACCACCGCACGCCCATGTTGCTGCCATGCCGGGGATGATCCGACCACCTCGCGTGATGAGATTTGGCCGTTGATGTTCACCATGACCCCACGCACCTCGTCGTGTAGCTAGTTGGATGGAAAGCCCCCACCTTGCCTTGTTTCACCATAGCCACAAAGCTCGCTGGAGCTCCGCCGCACACCTCATGGTGGTGCGGACTCCACCGCGCCTTTTGGTCATCGCCGATAGGCCGATTAGCCCCCCCCCCACGACCCCAATTGAAGGAAAAGAGACACTTTTGGCTCCGATTGTGGCCGTAGCCACCTTGCCACAGCCCGTCGCCGTAGCCAACCTCACCGAAGCCCTTAGAAGCTTCACCTAGCCCTTAGCTGCGTCTGCCGGAGCACCGAGAAGCCATAGGAGCCCTGTTTAGGCTGTGTCGGCATCCCTCGCGCCCTTGACGTTGACCTACGCTGTCGCCATCCGCCACGATGCCTACGCCGGGCGCCACGGCCACCAAGGTGCCACCTCTGGCCCACCGGTGAACTCCCCGTGGCCCCACGATGCCATAGAACCCCATAGCAGCCTCGCTGAGCCACCACAATGTGAGAACACGCGAGCTCGCCGTCGGTGAGGAGCGTCGCCATGAGACAGAGAGAGAGGGAGTTGCTGCGTCGCTGCTACTCGGTGCACCCGGTGCACCGTGAGCCAGAGAGAGAAGAGGGAGAGATAGACACGGTCCACCATGAACTGTGCCTGCAGTCCATGGCCCCGCACCGTGCTGTCCACCGTGAGCCACGCCCATGGACCCAGGCCCGTTAGGAGCCCAGCCAGGCCATGTGGTTAGCCTCGTGCCTGACAAATGTCCGAGCCTGGCCCGGCCCAACCCAGACCATTATCCGGCCCGCTAAGCCTAGTTCGAGCCCAGTCAACATTGATCGTTGACCAGTCAACGCTGACTGTTGACCCGGTCCCACCTATTAGTGACCGTGCTCCCCGCATCTAATCAGAATGCGCCACGTGTCAGCCTCCGGATTTTCCATTTCTTTTACTTTTTCAAATATGATTTAAACTTAGAAAATTCATACGACTTGAGAAAAATATGAAACCAAAGTCCCAATTTTTCTACAAATGAGCTCTACGTCATAGGCTTATGTTTGAGTGCATTTGGATCTTTCAAATTTATGTTGCTTCTTTGTGATCATCTATAGGAGTCGCTTATCGTGGCTATATGTCTCGGTTGGCAGACCCGGAGGAGTCGCAGACTGAGGAGCATGACCCTGACTACACTGAGGAGCTTGGAGACGACCTGCCAGGTGCCACGTCCCACCCAACCTCGTAGAATCCTATTAGACATGCTATAATGTAGATGCTAGTGCTATATTTTTTTATGCAAATGATCTGTGATAGGTTGCATGGTAGAATTGCTTGTGAGTCATTACCTTATTGCAACCTATACCCCTGCACACCCACTGTTAGGCTAGACGCTCGCTTACTTACTTGTTACTGCTTCTACTATGCATTATATTTGTGATATGATGCTTGGTGGAGGGTTGTTTGTGAGTGGTTAAGGCACTTGGTGTCAATAATGTGGTAACAACTGGGGAGATCTTGGTGTGCGTCTTGGGTGTGTGGTGAGGGTTGTGTCGATCGGGCAGGATCTTACGACGAGTCTTGCTGGGGGGTGCCACCTGGGCATCCCCTACGAGTACCTGTGGTGGGTGCATGTGAGATGAGGAGATCTCGGGGTGGAGTGTTTTTGTGGGATGAAGCCCCAGGATGGAGGTGCCGTCGAGGCATGGGGTGTTGATTATCCCCTTTGAGAAGATATCATGTCCGGTCTCCCTAAGGACTGGTATGTCGAGAGAACCAGATCATAAAACCCTACGTAAACACCACTCGCTCCTAAATGGGCAGGGGGCGGTTACCCGACCAACTAGGACGGTGCCATTACTACTAGGTTGGAAGTGGATAGTGTAGGGAGGTATGGGCGTGTGGTGCACACCCTCCTAAGATAGCATAGTGACCTTGAGGGCCCAGTACTACGTCTCAGTCTCAACGTGTCGGTGGACTCTAGGGTGGCCCAGGGTTGAGTGATAGGGTGGCACCATACCAGTTGGGAGGCAGTCGATATCAGCCTAGGCGGGGCACCGCCAATGATGGTGATCTTATGGTTCTAGGTCTACATGCTTTGTAGAGTTGATCGATCTATACGTATAGCCGCGTCCTCGGATATGGACATTCATATGACCTACGCTTCCCTTGATTAGTGAGTGGAGTCATTTCTTCTCTCCCCCTGGGTTTTGGTGTTGGTTTCCGGCTTGGGCCAATGAGGCAAGGCACGAGAAGGAGTCGTTCTTGTCGCCTAGAGAGTGTGAGAGTGGTGAGATGTGTGTGATGGGATGGGGAAACGTGTGGATGAGATGGGTTAAAATTTGATGAATTATTACTAAAACTTGACATACTCGCATAGGAAACTACAGCCACAAATAGGTTTTTTGCTCTACCCTTGCATTCCACTACCACAAAGCAAACGCAAAGCATAGGGTGGGAGCCAGTGGCCAGTACAAATCATACTGATAATTGTTTGGCAGGTTCCGAGTCTGAGTATGACTTCTAGGGAGACGGTTGGGAGGATTAGAGGTCTTGTTCCTACGCTCAAATTTGGTTCATAAAGATGGAGTCGACGCCCGCTGTCGTTCTACTTGATGATGTTCTAGTTGCTGCATGCTCTGAGTGATTCCGCCAAGTGGCGTTATGATAATGAGTAAACCTTGCTCTGAGTGATATCGACTGTTATTTGATAATGTGATGGGATAATCATCTGGGACTATCATGTTATACTTCGAATCTATGGATTTCCCTTCGAGGAAATCAGGATCATTTCACGTACCCGAACCATCTCCAATGCAACCGGCTATACCATATACACGTGGAAAGCATCTCCAACGAAAGCACCCGCCAGTGTGGCTACCCCCTGTCACGCATGCCAAAGCAGTTCTATGACGATCAGTTTTTGTCATAGATCTATCCAATTCTATGACGATTTTCTAGAATCATCATAGAATTGCAAAAATGACGCGACTTCTATGACGAACCGTTTTTCGTCATAAATTCGTCATAAAATTAAAATTATGACGAATTTGGCTCCTTCAGTGATGAAAGTTGATCGTCATAGAAGTAGATATTTCTAGTAGTAATACCACTCTGTCTAATGAAATTGTCTAGTGGCATGCATGCCATGATTATTTTGCTTTGCTTTGCCATGGAAAAGCTAGGTAAATCCAACAAAATTCTCCACTTCATCTTTAGAACTCTAAAAGATATCTATCTAGGGCAGGGTACGGCGCGGGCTCAGACACAACAATAATGAGGGGCACCCCCTGTCCAGGGTGGGCTTTTAGTCCCTTTTAACAACCTTCGGGTGACTAGTTGGCTAAAGACCATTTAGTCCAATTTAGTCAAAGTGTTTGAGTAAAAAGTGACTAAATGGGAACTAAATTTAGGAGCTGCTAGATGAACCAAACACCCCCTTAATTCTCTTGCAATCCATTTATTCAGCTTATGTATGTTTCACAGTGACATCAGCCATCCACTCGACGACGCGCACGAGGGCACGCACAATGTACTAGTGAACATATAATAACTCCAAGAAAAAATTTAGTCTTAGACAGTCTCGGTTACGCAAACATAAATTTACATGGCATCCGCTCACTCACAGGGTAATGGGCCCCCGTGTGTGGCGGGGTACGAGGTTCGGGAGTTTCTCGGACTGAGTGAGAAGTCCTCTACCTTAATGCGAAATGCTTGGGGAGCGCATGCTATCTCCCATAGTCCGAGTTTTTTTATATACTAGGTAGCGTGCTCGTGCGTTGCTACGGGATAACTAACAATTTATACTAAAAACACACGGATCGCATGATAAGATAACAATACTGTTAAATTAAATACCAACGCTAAAATGACATTTAATCCAAAAAAGCAAAGTTTATGAATTTAACACAGTCACGGAGTGCGCGGCGTCACAGGCTCACAAACTCTAGAGCTTCCAGAGATTGGGTCGAATCCAACCTAGAGCCTCGGAACCCTGCATCTTTTCCTAGACGGGCTTCACTTCGGATGCGTCGGTAGCAATATCAACGATCTCCAGTCGATGGACCAAGTCGTATGGATCCCCATACAATGGCTCAGACATGTAGATTTTGTTCTCCTTGTACTTGGATACACTTGTTCCACTGAAACTTTCATTGAAATATTTAGACACGAACAATGTTTGATCACCGATGTCCCTCACCCTGGACCACTCCGGCGTACGGTCGTGGAGGTTGTACATGTAGATCGCGCTGCTGTAGGTGAAGCTCTGTGTCTCGTGGAACGTGCTCACCATGGCATCCACAATGTGTAGCTCACCGTTTGATTCTAGGTAGCTGCGGTGGCAGAGCCCCACAGGTGGCGATAGCGATGGCAGCAGCGTCGCGGTTAGAGTAGCGCCGGTGGCGTTGCTGCCGCAGACGGAGATTTCTCTAGTGTAGTCGATCGCCAAGAACTTGTCTTGGCAGTGGACGATGAACCCCACGGAGAACTCTAGTTTGGTGTCAAGCAGCATCCATGCACTGTCGACTCCAACCCGGCAGAACGCGACCTCCGTGGAGCACCCAAGCATGGCCATGGCCATGCACTCGCGGCCGGCGACGTGCCGAGAGCACGATCTCACGGAAGAACACGTCCCTCATGTCTTCTAGCTTGATGGCTCTGCCTGCGGCATCCGCGTCCCCGTAGCCGTTGGTGGGATGGAGGACCCACCGGCCGTGGACCCTAGACACGCGTTCCGATGAGGACGCCACCGCAACGTGTTCGCCTGCTGGCGGGAACTCAACGCGGGGGGCACAGGCACCGGCGAATGGATTCAGCAGCGTCACGGACACTGCCTCGTCCATGAGCGCCAGCCACCCACATGAGGAGCCGCACGCCACCTTGCCGCGCACGTTGGGCAGCGTCTTGGACAAGACCTTCTTCTCCAGGATGCAGTAGAAGCCGACGCGGTCCGAGTCAGGGTCGAACGAGCAGCAGGAGCGGCCCGAACTATCTAGCATCTGTATTTTTTGGCGCACTAACTAAACTCATTCAGTCTTGGTGATTACACAAAAAAGTGCTCCTTTATGCCAGATTTAAACTTTCTTCTGTTGTTAACTTGTTATCTTGATATGTTTCATGTTTAGATCCTTATACAAAGAATGGTTGAATCTCCGTGCTTTAGGGATTCAAGAGAACATTTGGAAAATAGGAACTATCTTAGTTATGTTTCTCTTTCTTGAACTGTCACCTAACTTTGATTTTTGAAAAGTTTGATTCTACTTCTCTGAACCTTCTTGGCCTTAAGCCATGATTACTAATAAAGGGATGTCATTTTAGTATCAAATTCACGTGTAAGTACATGATATTCTGTAACTGGCCTTTTAAAATCCTTGCTTTGTTGGTTTCAGATAATTCACCGCTACCACTGACACCAGATTATGCTGGATCAGTAGTACGCTATGCTGATGGTGTCTTTGATCCCCATTTCCATCGTTTCGTAACTATAATGGAAGGTGACTAGACCTATTCCATGTATCAGATCAATAGTTCTGATTTGCTTACAGTTATTCAGTTAATACAAAAAAGAATCAAATTTGATGACAGATCATCGGCACAATAGCTCAAATCCCATCACTACAATTGTTGCTGTAAGAATAAGTGATGGGGATGTCAAAGGTAAGGAATCCTTAGGCTACTTCTTTAGGTTATTCTTAAGAGACTTTTGGGCTTATTTGTAATGTAAATCTTTTTTTTTTTTTTGGATCAGAATCTACTATGCTGGTCAGTGGCAATGACTTTTATGCCTTCCCACGTATTGATCCAACTAAAAAACGTATGGCATGGATTGAGTGGAGTAACCCGAACATGTCCTGGGACAAATCACAGTTATGGGTTGGGTATTTCAATGAGAAAGGGTAATATCTTAGTTGCACCTTTGTGTTTTCACTCCTTTTTGGTGAAAGAAAGAAATGTTCTACACATCTACACTTGTAACTCCAGTAGCTGCTACAGTCCTTTATCTATGTATTTACTAATGAGCGTGGAGTTTTTTTTGCCTGGTAACATATGTTGAGGATTAGTATGTTTTTTAGATCACTTTATTCATGTAACTGGTCCAGAGAAATCGATAATTTGTTCGAGATTATGCTAATGTAGTCTTGCTATTGGCTTTATCAGAATCTGGGTTATTGTACATCATTTGTACCTTGATTTATACTTAATGATATGTTTGACAGGGTATTTGTTTGTTCCAGTCCATTTTATTTTTTACAAAAAGGATCAATGGTTGAGTTTCTTGTTACATCAAGTGTACATGAATGTTTCATGATCTTCTTCCAAGATTTATTGATTTATCGCAGTGTTTATTATTGTGTAGAGACATAAAAGAAAAGATCTGCATTGCTGGTGGAGACCCAACAATAGTAGAATCTCCTACTGAACCCAAGTGGTCTTCAAAAGGTATTTCAAATTTAATACTGAACTTTTTCCTGCAGTTTAAGTTTTACAATTCAAGGACATGAGTAGGCGACTTTCTGGTTGTTGATTATCTACTTGGTTTTTATTTCGCTAGGATAAATGCAAACCGTATTTTCTCACTCGATTAAATCTACTTTGCTCTAGGGGAGCTGTTCTTCATAACCGATCGAAGGAGTGGGTTTTGGAATATTTATAAATGGGTATAATTTTCTCTGTCAATTGTATTTGTTTCTATTCAGTTTTCTACCGATCCGATCGTTCTCCCAGGTTAGCAAATGCATATCTGTATTGCCGTGGGGCACATCTGTCTCTATTGTCCTGGAACCCTCATATTGATTGTCTGTGTTCTAGATGTACCACTTGCACCTACTTTTCAACAAGATTTGTTTATTTAAGAACTAGTTATACCCTTTTACATCCAATGCGTATCTTTCACAGGGACAGTTGTTATTTTGGCAACACCATCATGTAGCTAACAATAGTCGCCGTTATAGCCTACTCTCTCTAGTGAGTAGGATGTTGACTAAACACAATGTTCTAAACTCATATGTTTATTTTAATAGTTATCCCATTTTTTTCTTGTATCGTACCAAAATCAATGGGGCATCAACTTGATGCCCTGCCTCCAAGTTATTGAAACTGTTCAACAGCAACCTGTCTGTGACAATTAAGAACTCAATACCTTTAGCTGGTTTACTAAACGAAAAACTTGGCCATTACATTAACAAAGCATAGAACACAAGTATTACCATAAAGAAGTTTGAACTCTTTCTGTTATCTGTGTTTTGTGTTGATTTGTGTATGACAGGATGAGCAGAACAGAGCAGTAACACCTCTGTATTCACTTGATGCTGAATTCTCCAAGCCCATGTGGATTTTTGGTGTCAGCTCCTATGATTTCCTTGGAATAGATGACACAAGTCACAAAATCGTTTGCTGTTACAGGTTTTCGCATTTTCTAATAGCTGTTTGATTTTATGTGGTTCAGAAGAATAAACCTGTTTTTTTCTTATCCAGGCAGAATGGAAAGTCATATGTTGGGGTGCTTGACCATGATTCCGAGTCCTTTTCGAAAATTGACATTCCCTTCTCTTCTGTAACTAACATAGTGGTACATACCTTAAGTAACTAAATTTTGGTATTTATCATTTTGTAAGATTTGGTACTTAATGCTCGAACTTGTTGATGTGATGATGCTTTATCTTAAAGCTTGCTGATTTGCTAGGTCTCTGGAGATGGATCCTTCTATATTGAGGGTGCATCTGCTACTCTTCCAGTATCAATAGCAAAGGTTTAATTAATTGGATATCCTGTAGTCTACTGTCAATTGACATTGAATCCTGTGGTGTACATTTGAGCTTCACCATTTGTTTTTCCACCAGGTGACACTTGATAAAAAGAGAACTATGGCAACTGATTTCTCTATTGTTTGGTCCTCCTCAGAGGATGTTGCACAATATAAATCGTACTTCAGCTTGCCTGAATTTGTGGAGTTTCCAACTGTGATCAATGGTCGGCATGCATATGCTTATTTTTATGCTCCATATAATAATGTTTTCCAAGGTTCATCAGACGAAAAGCCTCCCCTACTGGTCAGAACTCATGGTAAACAAATATATCATTTTTTGTCCTTTTTTCTTTACTTTGTTATTCTAAATGTCATTAATGGTCATGACTTCATGTTACATCAGAAATAATTAGCAAAAACACTTTGTTGGATTTTATGTACATATTTCCAATCAGTATATAAGAGTGACAATTGTTTGCCTGTTACTGCAGTCTTTTTCTTTCTTTGAGTAAAGTATCTGTTAATTCAATCTTTCGACAACATAAACTCTTAGCACTTTGATGATAGACGGGCATACATTGGCCTAAGCTAACTTGATTTACTAACTCCATGAATTGCTAAAGGCATTGAAGCTATCTTTTTCTCTTCTTTATACCACTTCATTGTTTAGGTGGACCCACAGATGAAGCACGAGGGGTTCTGGATCTTAGTGTGCAGTACTGGACAAGCCGAGGATGGGCATTTGTTGATGTTAACTATGGGGGAAGCTCAGGTCTTTGGCCCTTTCTTGTCTCAGCTTATATATCTGATGAAGAAATCCACATTCTTTGTACTTCCAGATCTGACGTATTAATTATTCAATGATGTCCATCCTCTTATTTACAAGCACCTTAATCTATTTACTATCAAGGATTTTGATGGTGATAGTTATTGATGTTCCTTCACTTTGTTGAAGGCTATGGGAGAGAATTTCGAGAGAGGCATTTAGCACAATGGGGTGTTGTTGATGTAAATGATTGCTGCAGTTGTGCTGCATTCCTGGTATGGCTTGTTCAGACTGACAAACCCAATTTGTTAGTTTTTGTGGAGGATCTACTCAGCATTTACAGTGGTTACTAAGAAAGATGAATGAACATGCTTATACCATGCTGATTATTAAGGTGGAAACCGGAAGAGTGGATGGGCAGCGGCTTTGTGTAACTGGAGAATCCGCTGGTGGATTCACAACTTTAGCCTGCCTTGCTTTCAGACAGACCTTCAAAGCTGGTTTCGTCTTTATATGGGGCAAGTTTTGGTTCTCAATTTCTCATGCATTGCTTTCTTATGGATTCAGCTTAACACCAGCTAAGAACTTATACATGCGGGTTCTGCTTTGTTTATAAGCAGATAGCTGACCTAGCGTCCTTGAGGGCAGGAATGCACAAGTTTGAAGCATACTACATTGATAACCTTGTGGGTGAGGAATGCTGCACTCATGACTCATCCATACTAGCAATCGTTTTTTTATATGTTTCAATTAACATCACTGTACCACCAATGTTTCAGGAAATAAACAAGCTTACTTTGAGAGGTCTCCAATAAACTTTGTTGAAAACTTTTCATGTCCAGTGATTTTGTTTCAAGGGTTGGAAGACACGGTAAGCCTACAAGGCCTGAACTTGCGTAGTGGAGGATATGCTAACCTTGGACAAGTTTCAGAATATGCCTGGAAATCATAAATGTCAATTTAATACCATTTATGAAATAACTCAGTTGGTAGAGCCTCCAATTGAGTGGCCACGCACCCTGGCTCGAACCTGGGTGCTCACAGGTCGTGGTTACCTCCTTAAATGGTTTGGTATTCCTGTCTCTTAAGGCAAAGACAGAAGGAGGGGATAAGAAGAAGCCGTCTGTTTCACACATCAACTAGCATGTGGTGTATAAAAAGGAAACTAGCTATCGATGAATAAACTCCAAGCCATTAATCATGAATGAGGGAATTAGGATCGACTAGGAACAAACTACGCCTTACCAGTTCTTAACTTCTTGTCATGAACCTGAAGCTATTGATTTCAGTTTACTGGCTTTCACTTTGATATCAGGTTGTATCACCAGATCAGGCAACAAAAATATACAAGGCCATAAAGGACAAGGGCCTTCCCGTTGCTTTGGTTGAGTACGAAGGGGAACAACATGGTTTCGGCAAGGTAAAGTGATCACTCTTTAATCCTTAGGCACTGCATCTTCTAAGTGCCACATTTAGTATAAGCAGGAAAATACTTAGTCAACTACCTAATATGAAAACTCACTATCTGCTGTTGTTCTCTAGCAAGTTAAGCATTTTAATTAGTATAGGACGAACTTGAATTTGCATAGTGCAAACTGCAGATAGCTCATACCTGACGTGCATTCCTTTGAACAGGCTGAGAACATCAAATTTACCTTGGAGCAGGAGATGGTGTTCTTGGCAAGATTAGTGGGAAAGTTCAAGGTGGCTGATGACATAACTCCAATCAAGATTGAAAACTTTGATTAGTCCTTGTAAACGTTTCAAACGGCAGCAATCCTTATTTTCTGTTTACCTGCTATCAACTGCTGAACTGATCAGCTTAGATGCAACTTGGTGCACCTCTTGGGCAGATTTGCCCTTCGCAGCTGTTCTTTTAATTGAACTCTATGGCTCTAGCTGTCATTACGAGCAATAATTGAAGCAAGCTTGTTATAAAAAACAAGAAGCAAAGCTTTCCTTAGCTTTTCCCTGGTGTTGGTCTGTTTTCAGGTTCCACGATCTGTTGACGTGCGAGGAGACAAATGGCAGTACTATTGATTGGCCATGATTTGGTATTCAAACGTGAGTTAGGCATGATTAGCCCATCAATCATGCCTCAACACGATTTAGAATCTTACGTTAAATAAGGATTAAAAGTTTTATCAATAAATTTAGGCTACGTTGTTGTGTGGAGATACTTTTAGTAGTAGTTAATAAAAGTCTAGTGAGATTGTTGTTTGCTCATGCTATATGCGGGTTGTCTTTGTCAGAGTTGTTTTAGTCCGGGTAGGAAGTGTTTTTCTTTACGAGATGTTTTGACTTTTTAGGTTTAGATACATATCTCTATATCTTCTCTTCTCTACACCTAAAAAAACTCTAAATTAATTATATACCTGGTGATAAAAAAAACGTATACTATCCGGTCACAGAGACTTAAAAAAACCGCAAGAGCCAATCGGAGTCTGATACGAGCCAACAGGCCAGGCTCAATATATACGTATATATTCAAGGAAAATATTATTTTCTTCTATATGCATATATTATTTTTTGTATTAAAGGCTTTTGTCCAGATCCCTTCGTGTACTGCTCGACCTCTGGACGTGCACGCAACTGGCTCAGCCTCCGCACACGGCTCCACTACGCCTCCGTGTAGGCGCCTGGTTCGGCCTCTGGACGCGCGTGGCGCTTCGCTTCTCGGTCGGTGTCCACGGTCGACTTGGAGCGGTATGTCTTCATGAACGACGTTCTTGACCGGCGTAGACTCGATCTCCACCAAGCGGCTATCTCATCTCTATCTCTACACCTAAAAAATACCTAAGGGTATCGTCTGCGTTACACCCCGCTCCGTCCCTCGCCCCGCTCCGTTGATCCCAAACACGCAATACGAAACTGAACAGTGCATGCCCACATGTAATACGAAACCAAGACGAAACCATGCAAACATGTACGTTACGCAATGGAGACTTGTACTTGTACATGCCAACACATGCAAACATGGTACTTGCATGCCCTAGATGAGTACAGGCCCGCCAGGCCGGGACCTGGGACAAGAACCGTCACTACTACAGAAAAAAAAAACTTTTCCAAGGCATTTTGAATTGGGCCTCGGAGGCGGTTGAGCCGGCTGCCCGCCTCGGTTAATATCTGGGATTAACCAATTAACCAAGGGTCGAGGCGGTCATTTTTTTATTAATTGAGACGATCCAACCGCCTCGCAAAATCAATTTACGGAGGCGGCCTCCTAAAATCTATTAACCGATGCGGGCCTTAAATACCCTCATTTTCGGAGGCGGGCCACTTATAAGGCCCGCCTCGGTTAATTGTGGCCAAGCCCACTAGCAATGAGAAAAGCCTAAACCAACCCGATACACACCCTGAATATATATACAGGGGGAAGTTAGGGTTTCACTCACTCCCTCCGCAGACCCGACCCTCAGCCCGACGCCGTGCCTCTCCCAGCGCCCCCACCCGATGCCTCTCTTAGTCGCCCCCACCCGATGCCTCTCTCACTCACCCACATCTCTCTCCCTCACTCGACCTCCTCTCTCTCTCTCCATCACAGCGCGGGTGGCTCCCCAGCGACGGTGGTGCCTCTTCTTCTCCCCGACGACGGCGGCGCCTCTCCCTCTCCTCTTGTGGCAGCAGCGGCAGCGGCGCCCTCCACCACCCTCCAGGCAGCGGCGACACTAGATCTGGTAGTGGAGCGCTCCTCCACCGGCGGCACCCTCCTCCCCCGAGCTCCTCCACTGGCGGCGCTGGCTCCTTCCCTGGTGTCGGCACGCTCCTCTCCCGAGCTCCTCCACCAGCGGCGGCGCGCCCTCCTCCCCTATCTCCTCCGGCTACCATGCTGGCTGGATCCGCCACTGGTGGCCAGATCCGTGACCGTGGTGGTCAATCTGTGCCCGTGGTGGACGGATAGAGCTCCCCCGGTGGCGGATCGAGGAACCCCGGCAGCGGCAGTGCGCAGCCCAGATCTAGGCCCAGACCCGGTTTGGGCTGCGGCCTTTTCCCTTTTTTGTTTTTTTATTTGATTAACCGAGGCGGGCATTTCAACCGCCTCGATAAAGTTTGATTTACCGTGACCTTTGGTTCGAGGTGGTTGGGATGCCCGCCTCAGAAAATCGGTTTTGCCCGCCTCGGAAAAGATTTGTGTAGTAGTGCGTGCTGCCGGGCGCTTGCTGCTTCTTGGAGACCACCAGGTGAAAGCCCTAGTTTGGTTTTGGATAATTGATAAAACCTAGTGTACTAACCCTTGTCATTAAGTGTTGTGATTGAGATAGGGTTATACACACCAAGTGGTGGAGCTAGATGATGGTCATGGTGATGGTGGTGACCAAACTTGAAGATCAAGTGCTCCAACTTGGAAAAGAAGAAAGAGAAAAACAAAAATCAAGTGTTGATCAAAGAAAAGGTATCAAATTGGTTTTTGTTTTGGCACTCAAGACACCATAGAGGGTGTGAGTGTGTTTAGGATCGATAGTCGTACTATAAAGAGGGGAAATCTTTGGCTAAGCGGTTATCGAGTGCCACTAGGTGAAGTGATTTTTGCATATGCATTAGGGACCCAGTGTGCTAATAATTAACCCTTGAAAATGCTTTGTGAAAATGCTAACACACATGCACAATGATGATACACTTGGTGATTAGTACTTGGGCGCAAAGGTGGAGAAGTTGGAGAAGAGGAGGTACTATTTCCTGTGACCGGACTCTAGACCGGACCCTGCTCAGGGGCGTCCAACCAGTAGTGCAGAGAAGGCGTGGTCTTGGTCCTTGACTGGACTCTGGCGGTGGAGTGCGACCGGACGCACAGGGAACACTATACCTGTGTTCGGTCATTGCTGACGTGGCGCGCAGAAACGAGAGAGGGAGAGATTGGATGCTGAGCGAGTCCGGTCACCATTGACCGGACGCGTCAGGTCGCAGAAAACCCTCTCAGAGTGCTTACTAGACTCGACCGGACCCTGCTCGTCGGTGCGTCCGGTCATTCTTTGGCGCGTTAGGTCGCTGGCTCGATGGCGCGGGCGTGCGCGCAAGCGGACGCAACATTGGTTCGTCCGGTCCTCTTGCTAGTGGTGACCTGCAAGTCACACTCTCCCACATGGAGTGCTTACCATAAGCTCTAGCACTTGACATGGCCAGACCACTTGTCGCCCTTCATGTCTCGTTCTACTAGAGATGCTCTTCGCGGCCTCCGCGAGGTGAGCACAATAACCCTCGCAATCACTTCTCCGGAGCATTGCATAATCTTCTTTGAGTGCTTCGACGGAGACCACCACCAAGCCATCTAGGAGGTGGTGTTTACACCAAAATTTAGGAAGAAGAACGCGGGAAGTCGAAGCTTTCAGGATTATGTCATTAAGGAATCGATTAGATGTGAATCGGTATCAGTTGATTTAGATGTGATGTTAGAATCAGTTATTTTATAGATGACGTCAGCAGACGACGTCAATGGACTATACTTGAATGGCGCCAGGAAGATGTGTCAGACTCTACGAATAAGGAAAATTAGGGTCCAAGTTATTATTAAGTTAGGAAGTTTTCTTTTATTTCAAGAATTGTAGTGAGTCGTATTTGAGTAGGATTCATGTTTAGGTTCCGGGTATAAATATTAGACCCTGCTTATTGTAAAAAGAAACAAACACTCAATCAATACAATCTTTCCGGCTTTTACCATCGCATTAGGAGTAGGAGTACTGTAGATCTCGGTGAGTTCTTCAGCAAACATGGCTGCATTGACTGATCGACCTCTAGCTTGCTTGTGAGTACCGTCACGACTTGTATGGTGCTTGTAAAGCTGCATCAGCTGATTGATCTTGTATGAGCCATAATATAAGTTAATTATCGAGCTGTATCGTAGTTTGTAAGGCTGCATCAGCTGATTGATCCCTTAAGAATCATAATATACATCAAAGTTATTGATCTTGTGTTAAATAACTTGTTGTTTAATATAATATCACCAGTTATTGAATCTGCTAAGATTAGTAAGATTTTCCTTACTGTTTTTTGTTGATTCATCGGTTATCGATCTTGCTATAATTAATATTTTATTAATTATAATAAAATCAATTGATTGAGATAGAGATATATCGATATCATATCATCTTAATTGGTCGTCCTTTGATCTGGTCACGTTTTAAATCTTATAATTAATGGCTTAATTCCGCTAGATCGACTGTTTTATCTCTATTCCAATCAAACATAGTATGCATCCAAAGACATGTTTTAATCTTGAAAAAACTCACTAGTTAATGAGATCTAATCTAATGACACTACCATAGCTGCATTGATCCGGTCGAACCTCACTAATAAGACTTTAGATTAGAAATTATTGATTGGTGGTCTTGTTCGTGATCAAGATATGTACTCTGTTTATTTGCTATGACCGCATCGGCTATTTTAGCCGATTTGCCTATACTCTCACGCATATAGCATGTTTTCATGAATCTATCAACATATAGATGGCTTTATAGATTCTTTGGCTTTAGTTTATTATCGTTATCATAGCTACATCGATCCGATCGAACCTCACTCTTGATGATAATATATTAGACTCAAAACTGTTTGTAGATTCATTTGTATTAGACAGTCAATTTGTTCGCATGTTATACTCTTTTCATCAAACTTATCGACTCGACGTTTTATATCGATTATATTCCATTTAGCCGATGATGCTTTCTGATGTTCCATGAGCATCGGATATTTTGATTCATATCATTATTTTTTAATATTAGCCGATAATTCTTGATTTAAAGATCTTTATTTCATGG